ATATTTAAAAGAATCTCAAAATTACCTATTTCACAAAAAAACTAGTGAGCTTCCAATGCTGGCATATTTAGTATTATTCTACTTGTAGTTTCTCAGTCAATATGAATCTAATACTTCACAATCTCAGTTCTTCTGTCTTGGGTCACAGTTTAACTTCTTAGCTGCACAAATCGTACTAGTGATACAAACATACAAGGGCAATAATTACTTGTCAACTCTGTTTTGCTTAATTTGGGAGAATTTAGGGATGTGAATGAAAGCCTTGTGTTTCTATTTCTACCCTTAAAAATAGTCTAAAAACACGATGAAAATTATCCCTAATTAGCTTCCAGATTTTGGTGGCATCTCCCAAAAGCAGTATCAGCATAGGCACAGCTATGATATACAGTAAACCTTGGATCAGATTACTGTATATCACACCAGAGTATTATTTTAAGACTTCAACAAATGAATTGAATGTATGGAGCATATATTATCTTTTCAGCCATGATTAGCCAGCAGAGATTGATTTTGTTCTCATTCCTTTCCAGGTCTGTTCTCCTGGCATCCTTTCTTAATGTCTCTTGCGGTAAGCCAGACAAATGAGATTATGTTTTCTTGATTTTTTTTATCTCACATTTATTGTTTTTATAAATAACTCAAGGTAGTAGATATAAATAATACTCCTTTCTTCTACTACTGGTTATCATTTCTCAAATAATTAACTATGCAGGTAATCCTTGACCTATGACCACAATGTAGCCTGCCCATTACAGTTAAGAGAGTGCCTTGCTTAGTTACCTCCACCCCCTGCAGCTGTTAAAATGACTGTGTGGGTCGGAACACAAAGTGGCTGAGGGGTGGAAGATGCTGGATGGCATAGCACAGGCTCAGGCCCACCTGCCCTGGGCTTCCCATGGCTTCCTTCACGCCATGAAACACTTCAGGCTCTGCTTCCCACCCCTTGGAGTCTCCACAGCCCTTGGGCCTGTTTCTCCCTCCCTGCACTGGTTCCTCACAGGGCTTTGGGCTCCTGCCCATTCCCCATCACCCAGTTAGCTTCTGAAGCTCTCCAGACCTGTGTACATCACATTGGGGAAGGAGGGCATATCACGCCATTTTAGTGCAGCTACAATGCCTAGCAACACAGTTCCTTGTGACCGCACTGAAATGGCAGCTGCTTCTGGGGATGCAGCCGTGTGGCCCAGTAACAGAATGATCCACTATGCTTTCCTAACATGATCTGCGCAATGCTGTAGAAAGCCCTGGCACTTTGTGCAACACTGCATAGACCATGTTAGAAAAACAGACCAAACTGCTTCATTGCTGGGATGTGTGGCACAATCCCAGAAGTGGTGGCCATTTTACGAACAACCCCTGGAATCCCGGAAGAGGCCATTTTATGAATGGCAATTCAATATGGCCTCTTGGAAGATGTGCCCCAACAACAAAATGTCTTGCTGTGCTTCCCTAACTCAAGCTCTAGAGCTCTTTGACAGCTAAGTGAGGAGAAGGAGGATGTGGGGCCTAGTGGTATGGGAAGAAAGTCCAAGGCCTGTGGGGACCGGGGGGGGCGGGGAAATAGGGAAACATAGGCAGGAGGGCACTGCAGCATCACTGTGGTTGTTCATAAGGATTAATGACTGCGGGGGGGGGGGTTCTGCTGTGACTTTGAACAGCTGCTAGGTGACTGTTATTTGAGGACTACCTGTACAACCTTATCTTTTATAACAAGTTCAATTTGCTGGCTCTTCATGCAAAAAGGCAGAATACTTTGTTGCACATAATAGGGGCCAGGTATGTATTCTTTACTATGGAAGTTGGGGAAAGATAGCATAACACTTCTGCTGCCCTGGTTCAAGAGTGAGTCTCTCTATATACCATCTTTCCAAATCTATATTTTCTCTTTTGCAGAATTTCATTTTAAAGTTAAGTATCTTCTTGAATAGAGCCTCCCACATTGACAAATTAGTGCCTCACTAAATATCTGATGGTTTCCCAAATTTTCACATGAAGTATTCTTAAATATTTTTTGCAGCTAACCTTTATGTGGGAAATCCTTATGTCTTTTTCTGTCTTCCCTTTTCCCAGTTTTCTTTCCTCATGACAGAGGCCCTGCTGACTTTCTCTCCAGAGAGCAGCCTGCTCCGGTCCTTCTCCCGCAAGGCCAAAGTCCGCTTCCACTGGGCTTTACAGCTGCTTGCTCTTATCTGTGCATTGCTGGGATTTGCCATTATCAGCTATAACAAGTACCTCAATGGGAAAGAGCACTTTGTCACCTGGCACAGCCAGACTGGCTTGCTGACAGTGGTATATGCTAGTCTGCAGTGCATGGGTGGGCTTGTCCTGCTCTATCCCAAGCTGATGAAGAACTGGACCCTGAGCAAACTGAAACTGTACCATGCCACATCAGGGCTTATTGGGTATCTACTTGGTTGTGCCAGCTTGATGCTGGGCATGTGTTCCCTGTGGTTTTCTACAACTGTGACTGGAATCTCTTGGTATCTAATTATGTTGTGCCCTATTCTCACCAGTTTGGTTATCATGAACCAAGTGAGCAATGCCTATCTCTACCGTAAAAGAATCCAGCCTTGAAAACAGTCTTAAAACAAGACATCTGTGTGGGATCGCAGAAGCATTTCTGCATTATCTGGAAGGAATCCATAACTATGTACAGGAATACTGGAACACAAGAATCTCTTTCTACCTGCCTCTAACTTTGTATGGATTTTTTATTGCTTCATTTTTCCATAGCATAGATGCCTATGCTGTTGAACCAAATTTCTTGCAGTCCCATTGCTGCAACTATAATTATTAGTATTGTTTAAGAGTCCAACCATGCCCTACTGGTGCTCCCTCACCCCCAAATGAAATCAGTGGATATATTATGGTTTAAATTATTCTTGATCTGGTCATGTACATTTACGCTTGTAAATCTAACTTGCTATAATTTCTTTTTCATACTCGTGCTCTATTCTAAGGCCTGGGCATTTTTAATCTTCCTCTTTGAAAGGTGGCTTTTAGTCAATGTATTTGGTTTTTGTTTGCAGTGATGGTCAATTCTTCCTCTTTTTTTAAAGTCATATGCTATGTGAAGGTACAGCATATCCAGCTATATTAGCTAAATCATATGTGCTGATCAAGGGCTAATAATATATTTTACATTTTTAAAAAAAAGTATAATTGCTTTGTGCAGATGAAAAATGTGAAGAAACTTTAGAAAATGAATATTCCTTCACCTGTTGTTTTTCTTACTCAAGCATATCTGTCCTGTTCCCGAATACTGTCATCCCCTGTAAGATAGAGACAGCTCTTCAGCATAAAAGGTATCACTTAAAACTAATATCCCTCCATTCTCTAGATACATTGAGGTTATTGTAACTCTGTTCCCAACTAATATTCTGACTTTCTGCTCTGCAGTTAAAAGACGCAAAGCTATAAAAAGGCACTTTAATTTAAAGCAGAAAACATGAACACATATTCTTGGATCACACCAGAATTTAAACTATAGTCAGCCATTTCTGTAGGTTGCATGTTATTAGCCCTGGTTTAATGGCATAATAGGAATGTTAGCAGAGCATAATAGTGAATCGCTTATTTTGCTAACCCTTTAATAAATTTCCAAAAGATGTGTCCCCCAAAAGCATATGGTATCCTTATCCAGGAGCAAATAACCCATGACAACCTAGATTATTCTTGTTGTCGCCATCTATAATTGTAAATTATAGTGCCATTATAATTTTATAGATAAAAGATAGAATTAGGAAAGAAAGATCTAAGGTGGTGTTTCCCAAGTTTAATATTTTAAGATGTGTGGACTTCAACTCCCAGAATACACCAGCTGGGAATGCTGGCTAGGGCATTCTGGGACTTGAATCCCCACATCTTAAAATGACTAGGGTTGGAAACACCAGTCTAAGGGCAAGGAAGTAAGCACAAACTATTTTTAGAAAGATGAGAAAATGCAGAGTGAAGAATACTATTTTATCCTTATTATAAAAAAAATGTTGAGGCCACCCAGAGTTTTGCATGACTTTCACAATGTACATCTGACTCTCTTTCTCTACCAATAGTTAATAGGGAGTACCCAATTTATTTTCTCCTGCTTGGTAGCTCCTGTCATATTACCTTATAATCCCTTGTATTTTTCTCTAACTTTCCCTCAACTTTTCCTGTACTTCCTTGCTATGTACTATTATAAAGGCTGAACACTGATTCTTAAAAATATACATTTTTAAACCAAAATTTAGCAGAATAGAGGAACCTATCCCACAGCACTAGCATAATGGCTAACAAAGTGTGCTGTTTCAGGTTACTGATAATCCAGTGGCTTTGTAATAATGAAATATTAATTCCTTTTTAAACCACAAAAGGTAAGAATAAGTAACTCTCCTCTTGAGTTTCCACAATATTTAACTCCTGAACTTCCTTCTCATGCTGTATTATATAGTCTCCTGTTCTCTAAAGTGGGGTATTACAGCAAATTGATGATAGCTTGGAGTGATAGAAACTAGTCCCAAAACTCAAGAGGAAACTACGTAGTTGGAGAGTCTGTCACAAGTGACTGTAAACCTCATCTTTTAGACTTGTAAAGAAAAAAAAGGCTTGTTATCCTTGCTCTGTAAATCAGGCAAAGTATACTTTTGACCCAAACTTTTCAATAATTGAGTAGTAAAGAATAACAATACTAGATAGTGTGATCCTGCAATTACAGACAGAAATTGATTGACAAGGAAATCCTCATTTCTCCAGACTTGAAGTTGTTTCATATAAACAGTTCTTTCACAAAAATGAGATATGCAAGCAGAGCTTGAGAAAATCTCATATGTGATTAAATACATGTGCATAATCAGCATTTTCATTTATCTTTAATTCTTACATCAAAGCACTTTCCAAGCATGCTGAGATTCTTAAAGAACTTAAAAAAGGATTGTGCTTTTTCCTTTGCTTTCCGAGATGGGGAACAATCCTAATTGCTTATTTTTTTATCTTGGCTATCAGCAACAATTTACCTACTATAATGGGTTTTGTTTGTTAACAAACATTTCGTTAATGTTAAAACATTTTCGGTAACCATAGTTCCTGCTTATGTTACTTCCAGGAGCTCCTTAAATATATCTTTGTTTTCTACTATTGAGAAGGGATAACACCTGCTTTCCAAAGAGGGAGAAAAGTGATCACAGAAAAGTTTAATGGGGAAATAATATTGTATCACAGATGAACTATTAGTAGTGATGTATTTAAAGACACTCATGTTGCAGTCAATGAAACAGACTAACATAAGTCCTATAGTTTTCAGAGACAGATGGCCACAGGTAACTTTAGTTGCAATGTAAGCTTTGATTGCATTCCCCTCCTGTCCTATTTTTAAAATTTAATTCTCTATTACAAAGGCAGGAACAAAGATTGATGATCTTGTTAAGATCTTACCACAAGGCATTGTGTAATGAGTATGAGATATGCTCTTCAATCAGTACCTAAATGTCTATATTTCCAGTGGTACATAGTTTAGATATCTGTTGCTGCTTCTTGTGTTGCAACATATATTTTACCATACAGTATTATAGTTAAAAAAACATACATTAGGCTTAAAAAGTTTGTATTTGCACTGAAAGCATAGGGAAGATCAATCCCTCCATAGATAACATCAATGAATAGTTTATAACTGGTTCTAATACTACTTTTTTGACCAGTGTTTACCCATTAAACTGGTGAAGTAATGACTGCAGCCTTGATAAGAGGGAACATAGGTAATATTTGTTATCTGAAAACATTGAAAACAAAATAGATACCACCAAACTGTGTAGCAAATAAACCTACCACTGAAACTTAGGGGTGGGGAAACGAAGCTTGTATTTATGAGTGCTGAAATAAAGATTTTTTTTTTAATGCAGCAACTGTGACATACTGCCATCATGTTTGTTTTTGCTTCCTTCAGATAGATTTTGCATTGTTCAGTGATACAGAAGTCATTGGAATGATAGCTTTAAAGTTTGTGAAAGCATAACAACTGCAGATATTTCTATTAACCTTATTCCCTATTAAAATTTCTGCCTGTGTTTCAGAGGAACATTACTCATTATGGCCACAATATTTTAAGAATAGTCATTTTCAAGTCACTGAGCAATAATTTAATATAGCAGCCAAATTAGCTATGACTAGAATTAGAATCTGTTCATCAGAGCCTGTGTATGAATTCACATATCAACTCCTGATGTTCATTTGAATTATAAGCAGAAGCAGAGCTGCCAACTATCAAGAATTTTCTATTTTACAATATATAAAAATACTATATACATTTTATACTGACGTCTTCAACTAACAAAGTTTTACTTCATTCACACCATGGCTTAGTATTTTAAAATCAACGAACCTTATCCGATGTCTTCATCTATATACACCACTCTGTTCCTGCTGACATCTCTGGAATATTGTTTTCTCCTGTCCTGATTTCTGTTTTCATTAACAGTTTAAGTAACTAAGTAAACTAAATATTGATGAAGTAAAACGGAAAAGTGCAGTGGCAAAATCATTGAAATAATAGGACATAAGGGGAGAATAAAAAAATACAGATGTTTAAGAAACACAAACCTCCCAGTCATGGAAACTAATTCCCCAAATGCATTGCTGAAAATATTGTCTTTCAGAATGCAGATATGGAATGAGGGAATTAATCTGATCTCAGCCAATGCAGCAGAATTAACTAATAAAATTAGTATACAGTAGGAACCTGGGAGATAATGATATGCTGGAATTCAACCTATAAAAAGCTAGTCATGAGCTTAATGTATTCCAAAATTCAGGAAAGTTAATATTAATAAAATCAAGGAGGTGTTAATGTTCTATGGCTAGGTATATTAGGAAAAGAAATTCAAGATAGCTGGAAATTCCTGGGAAGGTTATAAATGGCACAATAATAATTTCCAATGATAAATAATAATGGGAGACATCTAAAAAAATCTATCTGGCTAATTAAAAATGTTATTGAATTACTGAAAACCAAACAGAAAGAACGCAGCCAATTACGGTATGTATATGAAGAAGCCCAGCCCTAGAGAAGTGATGTCAGTGTGAACTATACTGGCAAGTAAAGATGATAGGAAGATGGTAAAATTTTAATAGGTGACATTAAAATTTTACCTTTTCCATACTGTGAAATATGTGCAAATTTGTGAAAGAGGTATGATGATAAACAGCCGTGACTGCAATTCAAGACCAAGAATTGGTAACTAGCTTTCATAACAAATCTAATGCTAATAATAAGGCTCCTCAAATAAGCCCTTAAAAACTTCATCGAAAAAGCAATTATGCAAAGAAATGACCTGAAAATGGATACAGGAAGTTACATTCTAGATCAAAAATCTTATTTCCTTTTATAGGCAGCATAACAACTAAGTGACAAAATAGGTATCTGTTCAGTTTACTAGATTTTCTCCTCAATAGTTGTTACTACCAAAATACCTTACAAAACAGTGGAGTACTTCTAATTTATGTGAGTGTATGCCATCAAAAATCATTGTTGCCTCCTGGTTTTTTCCCCTTGGTGGTGAAAGTGATCTGACTTGATTTATATCTGCATTGGACTATTGCAAGAATGTTGTCACCACACTTTTCACCTCAATCGACCTGGCTAAGTAAACCATACACCATCAACTCATTAAACCAGCGGTTCTCAACCTATGGGTCGCGACCCCATTTGGGGTCAATCGACCATTTCATGGGGGTTGCCAAGCAAGGCTGTCT